CTTCATTGCGTAATTTTTTCCCCTGGAGGTCGCTTTCATTTTGCCTTGTTTCATAATCCGAGCGAGTTTCATTAGGATCTTCATTATTCTAATTAGTTCAGAATTTTCATTTTTTAAAGAAAAAGTGCAGCCTAGCCAGAACGGGAGAAGGGTGGAGGAATGCTATTAAGGTCTGTGGTATTTCCGGATAAGGAACGTGACGGCAGCGCTACCAGAAGGCAGAGACCTACAGCGATCGAAAGGGAAAGACGAAGAGGCAAGAGTAGAAGGTAAATAGTGAGGAAGAGCGAATGAGACGATTGCAGATAAAGTGAAAAAGAAAGACGAGTTTGAGGAGACGACTGGGGGGACAGACGGCTTGGGAAACAACCGCGAAAGGAAAGCTGAGATACTAAATATTACAAACGATTCAAAATCAATAAGATCTAGAATCAGAGATCTAGGTGAAGAAGATATGAAAGAGCTAAGGGGATGGACATGTTTCGTAAGGATGGGGCACATGTCCGAAAGATATGAGAAGCTGAAAAGAGAACGTGAATTGTTAAATCGGGATTAGACAATTTGATAATAAGGCGGACAGCGAGTAGTCGGGAAAAAATGGAATATATACGTGCACATTTATCGGTGCTCAGCAAAAAACAGAAAAAGAAAATTATGGTAACGAAGAGAAAATGCTACAAACAGACAAACCAAAACGTACGGCGAAGAGAGAAAGAATTGGTAGTCGGAGGCACGGGAACGCCTCTTAAAGGTCGCGGGTGGGGGGGAAGGGGGCGGAGGTCGCATACCAACGCCCTCCAAAGAAAGGGACGGTGAAGCGGTCCACGAGCCGATTGCCGCTGTTCTGTTGTCCGCAGTCGACGGCACTTGGACAGAAATGATAAATCTTATGAATTCCGGGCGGAGAATAAAAAGCGAGATGCATCCGGTTCACGAGAAATTTGATTTCCTTCCAGGACAAAAAGAACTGCAGAGGAGGGAAAACGAAACACGCCGATGTAAGCGATACGAAGTTGTAAAATATAAAATTACACGGCAGCATTCTACGAAGTCACAACACCGAGGAACTGTTGTTGTATTTTGGAGAGTCTTATTTCTCAATGGATTTTGTAATATAGTTTAGTGTTAATAGATTTAATAGCAGTAACATAATTAGAAAAGAAATAAACTATTTAGAATGAGGAAACATTTATTGAAATAGTTTTGAATCAATCTGTATATTTATTTTCACAAAACGCTGAATTAAAAAAATCTTACGTTTCCTTAGAGACTAAATATTTACGATATCACACATACAGCACAGATATACGTTTAATTTAAATAAACATTTAATCTCTACAATCGTTTTATAAACTCTATAAAACTCTGTGGAACCAGAAAAACTGGAAATAGTGGGCGGAAATAGGTCAATGAAATCCTCCATTATCCAACAACGGACTATCTGAAACATGTAGTGAGAAGAGATATTGAACTGCACAAAATCCCCATACTACCATATAAAAATCAACCGCCGCGAAAATGATACCACAATAACCGCCATATTTTTCCCACCCTTCATTAAATGTTTGCAATAAATGTCGTTAGTAAATCAAGTAGAACCGACATCACTGTTTTGCAACGGAGCATCGTCCGCTGGCCCCCAACGATGGCAAATAAACGATAAGGCGTGCGCGATAGCGACCAAACAAATGTTAGGTGCGATATGTGAAAAAGCGGTTTGGTCATTTTGTGCACAAAAACAGTTTTACCAACGCTCGCATTTTAAATTTACAGTAACAGGAAAGTTGGATTGCAAAGTTATGTAATTTTTAACGATAAAGTCGCGTAAAGTAGTAACCTTTCACACGAAAATATCATAATGAAGCAAGCCATTGAACTTGTTTCAAAGAAACTTTTTGAAATACATTTAAAAGTCTGAGTGTTTCAACTTTATGGTACAATATATTGTTTTTTTTATATTCAAAGCGATCATATAACCGGAAATACGTCCCGAGATTGTACATCATGTCAACGTGGGGAATAATGACATCCTAGCAATAAATAAGTAGAAATGGGAAAGCTCGCGAGGTCGACATAAAACGTGTTATTAAAAATGTTTCCGAGGAGATAACAAAAACGCAGCGCATCGCGGCTCACCGCGTGGGCCGTAAACGCCGGCGGGGAACGCCGGCGGCCGCTCGCAGCGGGTTTCATCTCCGGCCAGGGGCAGCGGCGGCGGCGGCGCACGGCAGACGGGGGTGGGGAGACGATGACGCGGAGGGGAAAGGGGGCGAGGAGGTAAAGCGAGAGACAGATGCTGGACGGGAGAGAGGAAGAAGGAGCGGGAAGCGATGTGGCAGAGGAGGGCAAGAAAGAAAGGAGGCTGTTGGTAGGGGAGTTACAGTTTGGATGAGGTGGTGTCGAGAGGAGGGGATAAAAGATGGGAGAAGGCTGGGCGGGGGTGAGACTAGGAATAGTTACCTATTGCTAGGGCTGGGAGGGGGTGAGATTGAACGGGAGCAAGACTGGGCGTTGACGAGGCTGGGCGGAGGAAAGGCTGGGAGGAGGCGAGGTAGCGTTGGGGCAAAAGTGGGCGGGGGTGAGACTAAACCGGATGAGTCGCGGGGGGGGGGCAAGACTGGGGGGGGACGAGGCTGAGCGGGAACGAGGCTGGGTGGAGGAAAAGCTGGGAGGGGGCGAGGCAGCGTTGGGGCAAACATGGGCGGTGGTGAGACTAAACCGGGCGAGTCGGGGGGGAGGGGAAGACTGGTCGGGAGCGAAGCTGATTGGAGGCGTCGCTGCGAGGGGCCAAGGCTGTGTGAGGAGAAGCTTGGCAGGGACGGGGCTGGGAGAGACTGCGCCGCGGCTAGTCCGTGAGCACTGAAGATGCGATGTGGATTGGGCGCTGAGAAAAGAAGTGGCGATAAAAGTGGGGAATGGTACGGCAACGGAACAGTGTGTAAAGCAAAGAGATAGGGATGGGAGCGAGAGCGATGAAGATCAAAATAATATCTGAGGGTGACGTATTGTGGAGGAAGGACAGTGAGTCCCCTCTGTTAAAAATGACGACAGGCGTTGTGACAGGTCTGTCAAAACGGGAATGAAGAGATTGCGGAGGTCACTCGCACCATTCTCCACAAAAGAGACTGAGGTGTTAAAAGAAACGGGCGTATGTGTCAGCGAGTGTAAAAATAGAATTAGCTGACCAAGAAGACGCTATGACCAATGCGACTAAAATGTAGACAAACAAGAGAGAAGATAAGGATAGAAATATGAGTTAGTAAATAACTAGTAAAATAGACATTTTAAACTAATCCTCGTGTCATAACAAAATAAAAATAGTTTGAGATTAGGAAACAAAAGTTATACAAAGAAGAAGATAAAAACTGATATTGGCTTTTCCAAAAACATTCTACTTCCATTTACTTTTTCTAATGGCTTTGCCACAATAATTAAATCTATTTTGGGTAAGCACAAATTTCTGGGGTGGATTTTCAACAGTCCACAAACAGTAGAAAAATATTGCTTTGTAGGTTGTGCTAAAGTATCTCTTTTTTAAACTTCCAGCATTCTTATGGTGCATCAATAAGAAGAAATGAGAAACGCCGATCGAAAATAGGTGTCATAATTCTTGGTGTGACAAGAGAATGTTAAGTGACGATAGAAATAATATTTATGGACGGGAAAGAATCATAGAGAAGAGAAGACGACTGAGTTTCAGAGAGAGAATGGGAAAAGAGAACAACAAATATTATTCTACGGGGAGACACAATGGTTGCAATTGATTATCTAGAAGATAACCCGGCTGTTGTCTTTCACCGGACGAAAATCCATTAGTAGTTGCAAATTATGATGATCACGAAGAATAAGATGATAAATACGAGTAAAAGTGGGCAGATGGAATGTGGAGCAGAGTAAACACTGAAACCCCAAGTAAATAAGGAATGAGAAGACGTGAAGAGTAATTTGTGTCAATGGACTTCATGAAAGGATGCACAGAGAAAACGTGATCACCCCGAAGAAACCTGGCGGCATCCAACTCCGTCCACAACAAATTCATCACAAATCGATCGGGGTTCGAATCCCAGTTCGCAGAGGCAGACACCGCTGGGCACTTCGGTACGAAGTCTCCAGCACGGAGCAATAAACTTATGCCTATAAAAACCCTCGCCGGCGCCCCCGGAGGTAGAGTGGGAGTGGGGCGTGGCTGGTGGCGGGGAGAGGGGAGAGTGGGCGTTAGGGGACGCGCAGGTGGTGGGGGCGGCGCGGCGCACTGCTCGGCTGCGAAGCGAACGCAGGAGTTTATTTCCGCCGCGAAAACAATCGAGCGCGCCCGTAATTGCCCGTTATAAACGGGCGCGCGGGCTCTTTATGGAGGGCAATGGAGGCGGGCAACGGCGGTGGATGCAGCGGGGGCGGGCGGCAGATGGTAAATAGTAGCAGTGGACGAAGCGGACACGTCGGTGGGTGCGAGGGACGGGGCAGTGGTAAGCGACTGGTTTGGTGGGATACGGCGGTGATGGTGACGGTACTGATGGGGTTAGGTCGGAGTGATGGTGGTGGTAGTGGTGGTTGGTAGGGCGATGATTGTGATGATGGCGGGACTGATGGTGGTAGGTGGGCGGAGATGGTGATAGTAATGGTAGTGCTGGTGGGTAGGGCGATGAGGGTGAAGGTGGAGCGTTCTCAAAAGTGTGAGTGAGCGCGGGGTCAGAAGCGATGTCATTTGAGGTGAGTGACAGCGGCGCCAGCGGCGGGCAGTGGGTGGTAGATAGTGCGTGCAACTTACGAGCTTTTTCTAGGAACATCGTAAACAGAAGGTCAAAGAAAAACGTGGGGGTCTATCAACATTTTGAATTAAAAAGCCTTTATTTAACATACACATATTCATTCAGAAATATGTTTTATACAAGTTTAATATAGTATAAATTTCCTAATAATTCACAGTGTGTCTTGCAATTTTTTATTATTAACAATATATTTATTTCCACGGTTTGTTAATTAGAAAGTGCTTAATATCGTCAATGTGCTTGGCACATCCAGTAACCCAGAGGTCGCTGCGCAGCCAGCATTCGCGTTCTCTGTCTCCGTCGCAGCGCCTCCAACGTCAGTCCAGCGATGCCACGCAGTCCGAGGCGACGAGGCGCAACCAGACCAGAGACAACATCTGCAAGACGGGCGCGGCCTCGGGCTTAGCCACCTCCCCCGCCCCCACATACTCCACCCCGGATTTCCTCGTCCCACCTCTTTCCTGCCAGCTCTCTTCTGCTCCTACCCCTCACATCCCACCACGCTCACATCCCGCCATCCATTCCTCTGTCCTGAACTCCTCCGCCACATCCCCCCCCCTCGATCTGCACGGCTCCTCCGCCGCCGCCACCTGCTCAAGCGTATTAAATCGCGCGATGCAAACTATCAATTAACTAGCACATTACAGGTCGAATAGCCGCGAGGGCTTTAGCCTGCGTCGCCGCTCGCTTCGACGCTCCCCGGCTGAGCGCGCCCCCACCCGCGCCGCCGCCGCCCGCTCGTACGCCCGCCGCGCCCGTTTCGCAACGACTGCCAGACGCCTGAAACCGCGTGATCATAGCGCCGCCCTCGCACGCGCTCCTCGCACCACGCAGTGGAAAGACCCGGGGTTCACGGAGTCGGACGCCAACCTCTTCAAACGTTTCGTTCAGTAAGAATATATTTCCGAGAACAAATTGAAATATACTTGCAAATTGATGTAAGGTTGGGTGCAAGTAACGAGTAAACCCAAACAAAGCATGACGCGTTCAAATGTTACAGAAATTAATAACATAACACAACGTTCGCATGTTAATAATAAACAGAGAATTTTCTTCTCAAGAAAATGCTGTTAAACCTTCAGGGCTGAAACACTTTTGTAAATGCACTGTCACATTATTGCATTGAACTACGCAAATAGAAATACAAGGGTAAGCTTCGCGGGTCTTCCACTGCGTCTCAGTACTGGTCCAGTATGTCTCTACAAATCAATCCAAACGTTCTTCAAATTGACAGTTGCGTCTAACAAAATTTTATAACTACATTGGACCTATTACCTCAAAAATAGACATTTTTTTGAAGTAAAGAAACGGAAATAGCAATTCAAGAAGTCGGAGAACAAATAAAATAATAAAATAAAATGAACAAGTAATTTGTCTTAGAATGGAAGTCGTTTTCCAAGTAAATTCAGGGGTTAAAAAAGTGATGTATATTTAATATAGTATATAACGTCGAGAAAAATGAATGGGAAAAAGACAATCAGATGTTTGATGTTGTCAAGATGTATACCAGTTTGCTAAGACTATTTTCTTCTGCTTTTTTAATTATATCAATAATACAAAATTTGCGTTGTAGAGCAGATAAATCTAAACGATAAAGTCGTTTAATTTTGAAACCACTAGGTGTTCACGAAGTGGCGTCCAGGCAATAATAAATTAAAATCAGAATTTCTGTATGGGACAGAATAGAATCTGCGAATCTAAAATGAAACCTATATACGTTCGACACGAGTCAGTAGTAAAAGTTCTGTATTTACGTTGCGTTATGACCATTACTGCTACGAACGAATTGTTTAATGGTTACATGATAGCACAATATGAATGATGAAACAATGTTAGATTGACAGGTGTACGAAACAGGGTTGGCGCTGAGAAATCTGCCGTGAACCCGCTGTGTTCACTACTAATTCTACATACAGCCAGTGCGATCTAGTGTGAACTCCCGTCCCAGCGGTGGCAAGCTGGCATTTCCTTTCTCAGTCCGTTAAAATATTAGCCAAACCCCCAATACTTTTTCTACCTATTATATGTTTGCGCGTCCTTTGTGTGGCTTTGACCCACAGCGAGCGCTGCTCTGCTGATTACACAGCATCGCTTTGGCGGTTGCGCCACCGCACCTGCCACCGCCGCGGCCCCCGCCGCTCCACGTAGGGATTCAGGCGGCTTTGGCAGCGCGCACGCCCGCCTCGCTCGCCGGGGATTGCGATCGGCCGCGACTGTTGCTCTCGCGACAATCGGACCGAGCTGCGAAGGCTGCGAGTGGCGGAGGAATCATCGACGGCCGGCCGCAGAGATAAGCGATGTCGCGAAGACACATGAGGACGGGAAAAAGGTACGGTGGGAGGCACAAGGGAAGGGGGTTGGGAAGTGGTGGAAGAAGCGCAATGGAGAAAGTGGAAAGGAATCGGTAAAGAGGAAAAGGAGTGGAGACGGAACTGGAGGAATGGAAGAACAATCCTGGCAAACAAAGGAGAAGAACGGTAGATAGGTTATAATAGAAAAGACGAGATAATGGATCAAACGTAGAGATAAAAAACAATCGAATTGGTAAGAAAATAAAATGTAGAACGTCACATTAGCGTCAAAGATGAGCTCTTCAAGAAGGAAAACCGAAAACGATGTGTGTTAGGAGGTTTATAGAAAATATGAAGAAGAAGGGAAAAAGCTAAAGATCAAGTCTTAATTTCTATTGTTTTTTCCTCACATATACATTGTGGAAAAAGAACGGGATGAATATTTTTAGATGAACAAATATGTGACCTCTAAAACAGCAGTAATAAGGGCTTTTGTCAAATGAGAAATTAAATGATGTCGCAAAATTTCAATCATAATATGTTCTGAAAATATCCATCAGTAGCAATAAAAGATTGCCTTTCTCTAAGAGATAGACAACAATGTTTTGTATGTAATTGTTTGAATTCGTAGAGGTAAAAATCTCCGTAAGTACGCACGTTCTTAGAAAGAAGAGTCAAAGTAAGGTTGGCGACATGTACTTAGAATATCAGCGTAAAATTTGTTTTCTTTTTCTTTTGCGTGTTCGAAATAAACCACGGTTTTCATAACCATGAGGATACAAAATTATATTGCATAATGCTGCACGAATCAATATAATTCCTACTAATTTTGCTGAAATACTTTCAAATTTTATATTTTCCGAGCCTAGCAATATTGACACGGATTATATTTTGCAAATAGCAATCCGTTCTTATTATACACCTCCCTCAAGCCTGCTTTCAGAAATGTATGCTTAGATACATTTTAGTAGCACATGAATATATTCGCACAATTTCCCGCCACCTTCAAGTACCCTCATACACTAAGATTTTTTAAAATTCTACACCTTCACCAACAAGTCTACCGTGGTCACTGCTACTGACATGATCCTACTCACCCAACACAGGAAGAGGAAACATGATTCCCCACAAGTAGTTAGGGGCGTTAGTTCGAGAGCAAGGCGAAAGGCCTCTACATAAAATCACATCATGATATTTTCTCGTAGTAAGCGTATCCCACCGAACAGTGCCGCAGCGGTACTTCAGTTCAGCATGTGACGAATTTCCCCTGGGGTTGAAAAGTCTTGAATTGGTGATTCTGAGCGCTTGCGGGCGGATGTCCAGCGCGCAGTCTAGGCGACTGGTTCCTGCAACACAAGAAAACATTCCGGTAAGACTAAAGCAACCTCACTGGACACAATAAATAAATAATAAAAGCATCTTTATGATACCGTTTAAAATAAATAAACCAGGATTTTAACAAGGCAATATCTACATCAAACTGATAATGTAAAAAGTATTTTCCTGAAACGCATGTGCCAACAATTAATAAACAGCTCCGCATGTTTTTTGATTTTTTTTCATTTTATGAATGAAGAAGACTCTTGTAGCAATAGCACATTCATATAAGTTCAATTCAAAAGTATTAACAGATTACTAGTTGAGATTTGAAATTATGTATACACATTTTGTTTACCAAACCTAAATGTATGGAACAACATTAAATAGATCAAATGTAACGAAATGGAATGAAAGTGTAAATAATAATATAATACGAAAATGCAGGGGATTTCTTCTCTGCAGGTAGAAGAACTAACATAGACGTCCTTCAAAGCGACGGTAATTGCTAAGAATGCAATGCGCGTATTACTGATAGATAGCATAACCTCTGTTGTTCAAAATTAACACACTGTCAAATAAAGATACAATTAAATGTTTTTAAATTTATAAAGCTATAATACTTTTTACTATCATTTCTGTAATAAGTAGAATTTATTATTAATAATAATAATAATAATAATAATAGAAAACTTTTTGAAATACACACATATTAATACGTAATAAGTGAAAAAAACAACAATATTATGCTCCTTTGGTCAATCGTTTATGAGATACTTTCAGTTGTTTTAAATAGTGACAGACGCAAACATTTCCCCGACGACTGATCATTCAAAGAGGTAATCGAATGTGTTTGTATACAATAGGATAATAGTATCTTAATAGACACACCCTACTACGAAAATATGTTGCATTTGCAAAAGAAATTATACAAATACATAGAAATGGAAGTCTTTTTTGCAAAATTCCATATTACAAAGTAGTTACATTTTCAACTTTCCATTTTAATTAAAACGGAGGTATTCCACTTTTTAACCCTGATTTATGATTTTTCATTCGAGAAAATGAATTAACACAGTCCAGTTCGGTTCTAATCAATGAAGTGCTTCTTTATGACCCAATAATTTATGGAAAAAATATGCTATGCTGTCCACACCTTTGCTAGATTTTCTCGATATTTTACACATTTCAATACTAATTGCTAACCTTTTTTTATCTGTCAATAACACATTTTGAGAAGAACCCTTCTAAATTATCCACACTCAATTCAGAAAGCAAATTTGCCGCAAGAGGAATGGATGGAAAATGTTCCAGTTTTAGCCGCAAAAAATACCAATCTTCTTACTCAAAAGGCTACTGTTATTTACTTATGCAAAAACTAACTTGTTTGAAAAAAATATACATATATATACATATATAATAAAATAAAATATATAAATAAATATATAATATAATATATAATATAATAAAATATATATATAATATATATAAAATATATACCAATTACCTTAGATTACGTTTAGACGTTAGATTACGTTACGTAGACGCTTTGTATAATATTGAAAGAGAAAAGGTCATGCAAGATATATTTTTTCACTCTCTTTACAGCAACACTTAGCCCAGGTCACTCCCTGTAACTAAGCGCTCAAAAAACACCTTTAATCTCATTGCCTGAATATTACCTTCCCGGCTCCGCTTCTTAAAACTTAAGTACGCGTTTATTAGATTCCAAAATATATTCCCAAACATTTCAAAGGTATTTACTCTCTACGAGAGCAAACACTGTTTTCTGGAAACTCTGGATTCGATTGACGATTCGCATCCATTAGCAGAATACTCAGCGCATTTGCAGCCTATTTTCTCTGAGAGGCTTCTGCTGTTCGCAGGAAGGCGCTTGAACCTGTACGTCATGAGGAGATGCGGTCTCTCTAGAAATCGCTTCTCCTTAGGCAGAAAGTTCAGTTCTGTGTAAATGGAGTTCCATCGTGAATAAGTAATAACCGTTAGAATCTCAACATGCCCAACTTTACAGGAAGGTGAGAGAAATTCACATTAGAAACCTAACATAATAGAAACGTATTCTGAAAGTATTCAAACAAGCGAACAGAAACTAAAATATTAGATAAATGTTGAATAACGATTCTCAATGAAGAACTTTTCTTATCGATTACAGGTGCTAAGTGATTAGCTACACCTATGAGCTAATTTGATACCGTCGTTGAACTACCAAGGTTTGTAGCAACTACAGTATTTGTTCATGTATTGAACTTATTGAACGATTCCAGTTATTGAACTACTCCTCTCGCCACCTCTAAGGTTACTATCGGCTGGGTTCGCTCAGGTTAACAACTGTTACCACTGCAGAGACTCTATAAACGACGTTCTAGGGTCCGAGTTAGGATGGTGGGGGATTTTCGAAACTAGCTAGATTGCTTAGTCGGTTTCAGAAGCTGCCAAGAGGGGAATTCTAACGGGTGGCTGCTCTGGTCGGATGTTTTCCTAGTTTCGTTTATCCACACCAGTGTATGTCGACGCAGTTCCATAACGAAAGGGACCGCGGATTGCGCGCAATTCGCCTTACCCTTTCTCTCCCCCTAGGCACACACTTGCACTAACATGCACTTCACTAGACAACACTTGTCGGGAGACCAGTCAGACGTTTTGAGCTTATGCTCCTGCGGTGCTGTGCTGGAGATGGGGTGAGAGCGTAGGTCAGGGTCAGTAGCTGCTTGGCTGTCCGGGAGACGTCGCATCCTAAGCACAGGTGCCAAGGTTTCGGCCGCCATTCTGCGACCATGGCATTTCGCCCTGCGGAAGGTGGCGGAATGGCGGCCTAAACGTTGGCACGTGCGCCTAGGACGCGACGACTCCAGGCCAGCTACTGGAGGTGTAAATCATGCAAGCTGACGTGTAGGTCGACGTCGGATCTCACGTTCCATCAGATGAGAACACCGCCACCTCCCGCGATATCGCTCATGGAATCATTAACCATGGCTGTTTATAGATCCGGAAACATAATACCCAATCATTATAACACTGCATTCTCCAACACTTATTATCAGGGCGAACTACACGTTGCAGGTCTGCGCGAAAGACAAGAGTAGTAGAGAAGAGTAAAGTAAGACCAGAATCAAGAGAAGCGATCGGCGGGCTCGATGTTGATCGTCGGCGCTTTCGGAGCAGAGCGGGTGCAGAAAATGAACGCCGAGTGCACTTCCTGCGAACGCCCTCGGAAGTGCATTTAGCGCTCGCCGCAGACTGCGAGGCGGAGCGGGGTCTCCTCCCTCTCAGCACGCGAGCCCTCGGGGAGTGGACGTGCTCTCGTCCCGGGGAGGCAGGCGAGAAGTGACCAAATGAGATGCGGGTTCAAGGGGATGCAAAGCTCCTCTAGTGTCATGTTAGTTTTATTCGGAATGGATTATGACATGAATTTATTATTATTATTATTATTAAGAAGAATAGGGAGAAGAAGAAGAATTAACAATAAAAGTAATAATTGAATATCAAAAAAGTGATTTTGATATTGGATAAGGTACATTTACCGGCTAGATGCGAAGACTTTTAATTTGAGCATTTGCTTCTTAAGATTGTTGGATAAATAGAAGAACACCACTATTGATAAGGAAATTATGATCAAGATGGGTGGTATGATTGGAAAAAAAATTTGGCCATTTCAAATGCTACTTCTTTAGAAACAAGTTCATTGACGAGGGGATTTTGTGCAGCTCCTTGCTTGTAATAACTGATCTCGGTTTGTTACTTTTCCTTGGCAGAACGCAGTTTGAGGAAACGTAATAGAATCTGACCAAAGAATTGAAGAAGAAAATCAGTGAAAAACTTAGTTTTGAAGATTTCTGAGAGCGGAATTGTATTTTATTACAATTTCTCAATGGATTGTTTAGTGGGGATGACAAGGAAATACAAGCAATATTATATAAAAAGCAGTGCAAAAATCGTAAATAATAAAAAATTATGATGTAAAGTTTATAATAGGGAACAATGACATTAGTCGTTGTGTCAATCCCTGTGTCATAAATTATCATCACTTACATCCGATGGTTCATGAGACTTTTAAGTAAATCATTCGAAATTCCACGCAGTCATGCGTTTTATAAAATCTTTCTGTCATTGCTATTTCCTTTGCCTCTTCGTTTTGTTGAACTTCATTCCACTAGCCATCCGTTTTATTAATCGCATTACCATTTCATTAAGGATTAAAAAAACTAATTACTATTTATATTGAAAACTTAATAATAAAAATAATAAAATTGTAATCCATATCTTTAAATGTACCCGAAGTTTTCATTTCTCATTAATTCTGTGTTAAGACTATTTCTTCATATACAGTATACTTGACTTCGATGTTTTTGTTCGTCTTATTTTGTCCCTATGTTCAAATCCGTATCATGTGTCTTTTATAATTTCTCCTACTAAACAGCTGGTATCAGTGTTACGTCTTCTAATCCATCTCACTTTAGAATTTATGGCAGGCGAATTCGCGTTTAGTGCTTGCTCGTCTACTGCTGCCACGATTAACTAAATCATCGTTCGTCAGGGATTCCATGTCGAACGCATGCGCTTCCTAATTTCTAGCTCAGTACGTCCGATATAACCGTAAGGCTCCTTCGTGTCTGTATTTGTCACACTCTATCCCATTCTTTCCGCCTTTAGTCTCCGAACTGCCTTAATATCTCTTCAGCCTAAATACTGCACAGCCAAGTTCACTTCACCAGATTGCCAAGCCTTATCCCGTGTCTTCTCAACTCATTACTTCGCGTATAGCCTTAGCTCGCGTACAGACGTATTGTGGCGTATCCGACCTTAACCCTCCGCCCTACGTGTTATTCCGATGCACCCCGTATCTTCCTTTCCTGTGCTTACACCGCTTTACTATCCATACCACAGATTAATCTGCTTCGGATTACTTTGCGACTATTCGAATCATCTTCACGCACCTTCTTATTCCGCTTCACAACTTCTTAATAGGTGTCACTTCCCCTCACCTCGCCTTATCTCAACTCATGACCTCTCCTAACCTCACTACCATATTTCAACTTGTCTCACCAAGCCTCTTCGATAACTCGTCCTCTCTTTTCCTCGCTCCGAGCTATCGCCTTCTTTGTTTCCCCATTACGCTGCCCCGCCTTGTCACTTGGCTCCGCTCCCTCGGTCACGTGTTCCTGCCACCAACGGCGACGCCACCGGCCCACCGTCCGCTGCATCGCCCACCGGCAGAGTCGATCTCCGGCCCAGCGCCCGTCGCCGCACCCCTTCTTCCCTGTCGCCCGAAGCGTCCCTTAGGCGGCCCGTGGACCTCAACCTCATCCGCCGCCATCGCCTCCGCCGCCGCCGCCTCCGCGCGCGCGCTCCCATCCACCGAAATTGATGGGATTTCCAGCGTGGCTTCGTCGGCGAATTGCTCTTCCCGTATGCTTTTGTTATCTTTGAAAATTGCTCTAGCGCAGAGCGAGGGGGGAGAGTGAGTG